CCCCAAAACCCCAAAACCCCGTGAGATAGATCTACCAATTTTTAGGATACACAGTTTTGATTAAATCAAATAAATAATTTAAAAAAAGCAATAAAATATGATATTAGTTAGAATCTCAGTCGTCGGATTAGAAGCTCTGCTTATACTAATTATCTCCATATGTTTAAATAAATCTTATGCAAAAGCAGGAACTCCCCTTATTGTGAAGATAATTTCAATAACGGGTTGGTTTCTTGGCCTTATGATTCTTGTTATAACTCCTATGGATGTTTTTATCGTAAGTTTTTGAAACATTTTATTAATATTCAAAAGGTCCTTGCAGATGGCGAATCAAATGAATTAATGATAGTTTGGTGGTCTATTTTGTATTGGAGTGCTTTCGCTCTCAAAACATTTATCATTCCTTCTATGATTGCCTTTCTTAGAGCACCTGATTTGTCATTCAAAGATAAAATAAGGAGAGCAGGAATGAACATATTATTGACCATTTTGAAAGGTTTGGTTTTGGCAGCAATTTTTATAGGACTCTGCCAAATAAGAGATGAAGATAGAGAAAGATTTAAATAGTAAGTATCCCTAATTATATCAATGAAGGTTAAATTATGAATTTATGTAGATATGGACTAAGAGGCACAATCTAAGGAATTACTTTGCTGATCGATTTCATTTATTTGATGTTCTATCAAAGCTATGGATACTTGTTTTTCCCTTTTGCAATTCTTAGATATGTCTCAAATGAAAGAACTTTGATCTTCCAACTATGGAATATAAGCAATACTCATTAAAGACTTAAAATTGAAGTTAACAATCTCATTGAATTGACTAGAAAAATAAAGTTGAAAATAGATTGTGGTTTAGATGAGGAGCTAAAAACAGAAATACTTAAAAGAGTAAGTTTAATCGAATTAAGTTTTTACAGATAAAAGAATTCTATGTTGAGGAATCAATAGAGGCTTATATTAAATTGTTCAACATATCTTACGAAGGAAGCTCATTATTTCTTGATATTGATGAAGAGGATGATAGCGAAATCTCTCAAAGTTAGAATAAAAAACTTCCTGAGAATGGTTTAAAAAGCTAGAAAGAAATTCTGTTGAAATTAAGGTAAAAGGTTATCTTTTGCATGGAGGATATTTAGACATTTTAATATCGACTTCTATATTTTTCAAAGCAAGCTGTATTTGCACAAGATATTCTCTCATTAAAGAATTAAAATCACAAAATGCTTCGGTAAATAGTTATGCTAGATGGAATTAATGATGATATCTATTATCATGATGAATTTATAAGTAAGCATTAATTTATTCCAAAGAATAGATGTTTGGCCTTACTAAGTAAGTTCATTTAAGTTTCTTCATTCTTGTATAGTGTATATCTGGTACTCAATAATAAGGCCAATATTCATCGCTATTTTTGGCTTGTTTATTTTTCTACTTGGAATTCAAATAATGGCAGGGGAAATAGAAATGTATCTAGATAACGTATAAGATATGCTTATCTTTAATCAAATAAGACCCAAATAAGAATATAGTTATGAGCTGAATTTTTTATTAGTAAATGTAATTCAAATTTTATAAAGTTACTAATGCATGTAGGCATTATGTTTGGTTCCTTTGAGCTACTTGATGATAATTTCTATCTTTGCTGTTTTTAGACAAAGAAATAATAGAAATACATAAATTCATGCAAATCAATTAACTGAGGCTCCTTGTTTATTATATACAAGCCAATAAATAATGAAGTTATCTATTCCAATAGTTTACAATTTTATGTTTCTCTTGTAGATCAAGAATAGTGCAGCATTTGAAGTGCTGACTCCAATTAGTCTGCTTAATGCTATAATTACTCCTGATAGAATGTATCTATTGGCAGTAATACATCTACTGCTTATGGTTTTGCATGCAACAAATTACATAAGTAAGTCAAAAGATAATAACTAACTAAATATTTTATCAATCAAACTTTCATATTTTGATAATTTCTGAAATAGACAAATTTCTTACATGTATCAAGAGAAAAGAAAGTTATTATTTTGAACCATTAAAAGGAAAAGTATTGGATGGAGAATCACATCAAATAGTGAGTTTGTATATAATGGAATATAGAAAATGGCTGATATTCTTTAAGCCTAAAGGTAAAAGATATGTATTAAGAGCACCACATAAAATTCATGATTCTACTTGCACATGCGAAATTCAAAATTCTATTGTTGCTCATCTACAAACCCTGGCTTCAGAAAATTCTCGTTCTTCAATAGATTAATAGAATGAGCATTTATTGACTTCTGGCAGTTCCACTACTGCAAAAAAACAGTGATGATTTTATCTAGATGATAATTCTAGAAATTTCATATTTTATAAGAGATTCATTCTTGCCTTTGAGCTTTAATTACTATATAAACAGTTTATTAATCAAAAGATTTTTTAAATAATTTCATTTATATCTTTATTTTTGTGGTTGAATTATTATTCTCCATGGGGGTTTTGGGGTTTTGGGGTTTTGGGG